GGAGACAAAGCAATAAATTCCTTCACATGCATCAAGAGCATTTATAGGATTGTATATTCCTTTATCTTCCAGAAGTGAAAAGGAATATATTTCTTATGTTTCTTAGTCTAATTTTGGGAAAGTATGTCTGTGGAAACAGTTTTTGGTCTCAGCACACTCTACAGCTAGCCCACTATGGAGGATTGATTTTCAGACTCAGGTTCAGGTAATTTCTATACTCCTTTCTATACTCCCTCCAAATTTTGCCCAGAACTGATTTAGAATTGGAGCAAGACGTATGGTTAAATGTATGTCAGTTTTATAAATGCTTCTGAGATATCCTGGAAGCCTCCCTGTGTTCTCCCCATCCTCAGCTGGTTGCTTGGATTCTTAGGGAGAGCAGCAGATGCTCAGCAGAAGATAGGGAGAGAAGACTTTAAATAAGAAATTCTATATTTGAAAACCAGCAGGGTTTCTCCTTTAACTAACAGCTAAGATCCCTAGTTGCATGCGGGCCTTCAATTGTTAGCCTGTAGGCTTCCAGCTCTGTCAGTTCTCTTAGCATAGAAAATGAATTGGTAGTGCTTTTGTGTTTCTCAGTCTGCACGTAGCACTAGATTTGATAGGTTATGGAGCGCATCACAGGCACTGCTTCTTATCCCTTTCATAAATATTTTAGTCTGAATCCTGAAAACAATGATTATTTTTTTTCTAGCTCTTTGAATTGAAGGCTGTTCCAGAATCTTACTTTACTGATGGTTATAAACTTTCAAATTTCCAGCCAAAATGTATTTGTGGCTACGCGTTTGTTCCTGTGCCAGTGTTGTCTTCCAGTCTGAGAAGCTCTCCTCTTTCTTTCCTGCTCCATTCCCTCATGTCCCCATCCTACTTGCTGCACAGACAGCAGACAGCCGCCTTTTTGGCAGGATTCACTGAGCTCATGTTTTCTGGTGGCCTTTCCGTGGCTGCCTTCTCCTCAGCAGCACATGGCTCATCTCTTGCAGCTTGAGTTCCTCAGTGACCTGTGCTGTGCCTCGTATTCCAGAGTAAAGCTTGCCAGTGCCCTGTAAATTGTACCAGTGCACTGAACAGTTGGGATTGCTGCTGGCCTCGCTATGTTATGGGGTGGGTTTAGTAACCTTGCAAGGTATACTACTATAGCTAAGAAGTGTTTTCTTTTCAATAACTGTTTTCCCTTTTATCTTACAGCTTCTGTGCTTATTTTTATTTTCTTTGTCATTAATTATGATTCAAAGCTTTGCGAGATCAAAATAGATGAGATCCAATATATAATTTTTCCTAAAAAAAAAAAAAACAAAACCAAAAAGCAAAAAAACCCTCAATGTATGTCAGAGAAAGATGTGCAGTGTGTTTAGCATGACATCCATGTTACATTCTATCCTGTTTCCCAAGTCTTTAATTATACTTCTCTTCAACATTTCTTCTAACACCCTGCATGGTACTGATTCAGATCACAGGCCTCAATTCACAAGTTTACCTTTATTTTCCCTCTTCCATTTGAGGTCTATGTTTGCAGCTTCTCAGTTACATTGCATCATGTTCGGTTTTACAGATGTATGACAAATACTGGCTATCAGGCCTCAATCCACATACAGGTTCTTACCATTTTGTTTTTTCCAGTTGGGTTTATCTGTTTCCTGTTGAATGTGCTGAGCTCCTGGGATTTTCTTTCCAGTCAGTTGTTTCTGCTTCCATAGGTTTGTCTTCTCCATCGCTTCTTGCCTTTCCTCTTTTTCAGCATTCTTCTGCTTGTTGAAAACCGCGTTTTTCTTCACCAATTTCTAGAACATGATTAATCACTATCCCAATCTCGTTTGATTATAACTCAGATTTTAATTTCCTTTTTGATACTGTTAATATTGTTTCCAGTGTCATCAGTAGCGTGATTTTTGGCAACTCACATCATGGCATCCAAAACACCACTCTCTTTTTGGATCTGTATTTCATTCTGTGTTTTCTGAGATCCTTAAAGATGCTTAAGAGCCTACTCTGTGTTGGCCTTTCCATCCTGAGGATGGTTTACAGTGACTTTTGTAGTATTTTGTTTCTCTTTGATCAGAAAACAAATGTAAATATGTAGGTTTTTTCAGTTTATGTTAATGCAGACTTAGTTGTTACCAAAAAAAAAAAGTGTATCTGGTTGTGAGGTGTACAATTGTACTTTAAAGGTTATTGTTCCAAGTAAACAATCATTCAAAATAATACATTGCTTTTGAATATCGTGAGCTAGTTCTGTTTCACTAAAAGGAAAGCTAATGCTGAGCCTCAGAGGTAATTGGAGCAGCATCTCAGAGGGGGCCCTGCGATGTGCTGCTGAAAGGACATGATTTATTATGTTTTTTCATTGCTATACTTAGTTATATGCATACTGTAACTACCTAAAAATGCAGTAACAGAATGTACGTAGGGTTATTTGAATGTCTATCCGTTTGCACGTACAACTGTGCCTTGCGCACGTTCATGTGTAGGTTAGTACTTACGTGCAGAATGCTGCGCAGAATGCCAAATATCTGACCTTAGACATCAGGTTTGTAACTGTTTCGCTTTGGGCCTATCTGATTAAACATCCAGCTGTTGTGGGAGACTGTAGCTGAGCGTTTGCACAGTTTTTCCACCCCATCCTCTCCCTTGCATTCTCAGAGGCCAGCAGTTTTGGCCCCGCAGGCAGGCTAAGCACCAGGAGGCACTCTGCTGTCTCTCTGGTAGATTGTCTGTGCTTCCCTGTGAGGGAGGAGGGCTGTCTCTCTGGGAATCGTGATGGAAAGGAATTCTGGTTCTGTCAGGGTGCATCGCAGATGTGTGATGGGACATGCTTCTCCTTCCTCCAGAAGTTTGTTGCAGTAAGAGTAATAATTAACATGCAAGAGGGGAAAGTGCTAGCACCACAGTTTTCCTGCTTGGAGTAGTTCAAAAGATTGTGTCACATCCTGGGGTAGCTTTGCCAGCTTCATAAGGAAAACATTGATATTCAGACTAGTCTGATGTTCTCTGGCTGTATTTATGGTCTTCATGTGCCTTCCTTTATTTTTTTTACTGTCTGAAGAAGAAAGGAAGACTGTATTTGGTTTAAATTCTGAAAATCATAAACCTTTTACCTTGCTGTGGACACACGTGGGTTGTGATGGTTATATTTAAGGACCAGGTGTGAGGACTTTATTTCTTCATCCTGTGTCACAGTTGGATGAGGCAGACATGATCATGCTGAGATTTCTTGTGACTCTGCAGACTACAAACGCAAATGAAACCTGCCTTCCAAATGGATGTCCTTAACATTTAAAACTGTGCACATCTTTGTTTTGCAGCATAATTTGCTGCTGAATCTCTTGTTACATTAAGTATGCTTTAAGGCCCAAACTTCTGATGCTTGTTGGTGTTAATATTGCACTTAGCAATAAATATTCTAGATCTATGTATCTGTAAAGTGGTTCAATACTGTGTGATGTTTTAGGGAAATGTGAATAGTTTTGGGGAGTGTGAACTTCCTCATTTTTCTGTAATTTCTCTTAAGTTTTATAAAACACTGTTTCCTGCTGATCGTTATATGCCTCCAACCAAAATTTGTATGCAGCAGTCTTAAGCCATTCTTGCGTGGTTGATGGAATTAAGGCATTACCTTTGGAAATTATGTTGTTTTTATTCCATTTGAAATCAGTAGGAGCTATTGGTGTTCCACACCTCTACAGACAAGATCGTTGTTGTCTGTAGTTCTGTGAAATTTGGATTTGAATGCATCTGCCAGAGATTGCATGTCTCGGGCTGATGTGGTGCAGTGTATGATCTGGGGAGGCTTTGGAAGTGTAAACACTGAGATGTGTGCTGCTTCTAAAATACTGTACAGAGAAAGCTGTGCTGAGGTTGAGTCAGGTAAATCAATACACTGAAGAAAAGGTAATAGACCTGATGGATTTCCTGATCCGTTAAGACACAGGCTCTGTGCACAGACCTCTGGAAGGGATTGAGGTGTGTCATGTGGGAGCAACTGGGCTTCATGGTGCCCTTGGGTAGACAGGCTTTTATGAGCTGCATGCTGGGAGAGCAGGTCTTCAGTTCCCGGGTGACGTGGGGATCATTAGACTGGTGTTTGTGTTGACTGTGCTCTAGCCAGACGTTATTAACTCTGTCATATAGATGACAGAGTGGGGGTTATTTTCTGGCAAGCTCAGATGGAGCAGTCCTTAACTATCAGCAAAAATCAAACAAACAATAAAACCAGGCATGTTTGGGTGATTTGACAGCACCGTGGATTCCACATCTGAGCCTTGCTAACATATCCTTTTCTGTCTGTCCAGAGCTTTGCTGCAGTTCGTCCTCAGTAGTGGATGGTTCCTTGCAGTGGAGTGAGGAAGTTTGGCAAATTTCTAACCTGGCCAGCATACCTGAATACCAAGCTAAATCTAATTGCACTATAGAGCCTCAGGGAATTTCAGGTCATATTTTGAGACAGCAAGGACAAGATTCTTGAATAAAATTCTTCTTAGCCACTGTCCCTTTTTCAAAAGAGCTTGTCCAGATCACTGCAATGCTATGTTACCTTCCCTGATATGATGACCTGCAGGTGGATTACACTGCTTCTGTGGCAGCAGAAACATGGTAGAATTCTTGGAGGAGCCAAGGATGCACAGCTGTAGGAGTGTTAATGGCAATTAAAATTACACTGTATACTGGCAGTTAGTGCTTTGCTCAAAATTGTCTCTTGCCTGAACCAGCAGGAGTGATTAGGCTTAACAGAATGACAGTAAGACAAGCAAAATGTTCTGTTTGTAAGATGGTAGTTTTTTTTATTACCTGTGAATCCTTTTAAAATTGCAGCATAATCTCAACGTTCCTAGGAGAACATCTCAAGTACTTAGAAGTGACAGCTTAAATCATAGTACCTTTGTTACTTCTGTGGTCTGCTCTTCTCTTCTGGAAGTTAATCTAGTGAGATTGTCCTACAGATTTGAGCCCTGATCAGTATGTGATAGAGACGTGTACTTACAGATTGTTTGTTTGTTTTGCAGATCCTGGTTGCAAAATCCCCTGTTGCTCCATTTTCCACATTTTTCTACACCATTGAGAAATCAGGCTTGGTTCTTCAAGGTAAGATGAGAATGCTGACTATTTTGCTTTTACTATTAGTATTTTAAGTAGGCTGGAGGGAAATAAAAGTGACTATTGTTGAAATGGTGTGTTTTAACAGTCTGGTTGAGAAGGGCAGTCTTCTGCTTCTTTCACTGTCTTGTCTTGGATTGTATCAAATTAGTTGTTGCATATTTAATGTGGATGCCGTATGGTCCTAAATGGACATGGGTGTCCATCCGTTTGGCTTGCCTGGATCACATTGAGTGAAGAGGAATTGTTGTGGGCTGAATATAAAATATATAATATAGTTAATGTGTATAAGCTACAGAACTTTTAAAAAAATATATTTTTAGTTAAAATGTAAAAAGGTTGAGTAGCAGAAACATGTAACTAGTTGGATATTTGGCCTTGTTTTTGATAAACTAATGCATCAGTGTCAGGTTCAATGGTAGTGGTTGCAATTCTTAGTGAATTCTCAAGGTGCTTGTCAGAAATTTTTAATGAAATTTTAATCTTTCTGTACTTGATCCTTGAAAATATTTGTTTACAAATGTACATACTGCCAAAAAGCGATGACCTGATAATGCGTGACTGTGATGCCACAGATATTTTTCTGTGGTACGAGAGGTCATATAAAGGTCTAGTAAAGAGACCTGATAAAAATTTTTTAGTTGAATATCTGATTGCAACTCTATATTCCATTTGAAAATTTGTAGCTAATGTATTTATGTTAACTGCAAATATATTTAAAAAATGACCATTTTTTCAGAAATCTTGAAACCTTTATCAAAACAGAAAGCACAGCTGCATTTTTCGCTCTTCACGGGCCTGTGTTTTGCCCATATATCAAAATGCTTAAAAATTATTTGCTGTAACTTGAGTTAGTGCTGCACTTCCTGAGTCCTGGTTTCAGACGAAGTGGTGCCAATTGTACAGCAGTGTTTGGTGGTTGTGAGCAATGGGTGTGTGCCTAGGGCTGGGCTGAGACATTCGGCAGGGCGAAGCTGCTGCCACAGTGGTGTGAGGCAGGGAACAGCTGTGGAATGGGTTGTGCTGGGCTGGGTTGGACATGGCTGCTCCAGAGTGTGAGTATTGTACTAAAAAGCTGGATACTGATACCATGATGACAGAGAGCTAGAGTTCTTTGTGGCAAAAATATGTATTTTAAAACTATGTTGAATAAGAGAAACGCAGTCCTTCACTACTTTTCTCCCAATAAATGTTTCTTCAGTGTACCTACGTTTTGACAGATGTTCATAGACAAGCTTTGTTGAGTTGCTCGCTGTTGATGTGCAGTCTGGCTCCTGATTGCTGCATCAGTTAAGCAGATCAGATAAAAGTAATCAGTACCTGTCAATTTTTGTTTGGAGGATACACTCTCATATGCAGTCATGGTGTTAAGAAAAAAAAAAAAAAAAAATTGTTTTGCTGTTTCTCAGGTTCCAGTGATTGAGAATCACTGATCCTTTAAAGCACTAGAAACCTGTAGTTTGTGTGAGCAGTCTTCTTATAAAATAGCCCATTTTCCTCTTAGAAACTGGCTATACCAGACCAGTAGCATGATTACATTTATTGATGACTAGATAAGCTTAGATATCTGGTGACAAATAATTTAAGAAAAAAAATAAAAGGAGCAAAACTTGATGCATCTACACAGTGATAATGTGAGGGTGCTCTGGTTGTTTTCTAGATTTTTAGATATTACATACAGTATATTCTTAGATGGCATTCTTGCAATTTGATGTGCTTTATTTTGACCGGTAATTATGAACAGGCTGCAATATCTAGATACAATCTTTATCAGTTTAAACTGTAATGGCTTGCAGAACTTGCTCTGGACGTACTTTGATTCAGAATAGAGTATAAGACATGCTACTTTTGGACTCAAATATCTTCTGGGTTGCAAACATGTTTCTGGTCATTATGAAATAATACTATTTCCTGCTCGTTCTTCAGGCAATAGTGGGAAACTTCAGGAAAGAAACATTTCTGATTTCAGAAATGGCAATCACTTACTCAGAGAGGATCTTTGTTTCACTTTGCTTCTGTGAGCCAAGTGTACAGCTTTCTGAGGACTGAATGCTACTTTTAGAGAACAAACCTGCCTGACAACGTGTAATGATGATGGAGCAAGGCTTTTTTGGTAGAAGGATCCTTGAAAGCGCTGTATTAGGAGTACAACAATTGCTCTTCTCCCTGTTTCTGGAGCACATATCAAATAACCTTCTTTGTTTTTCTGAAATCATTGTGGATTTCTCTAAGTGATCAATTGTATTCCCATTAGGCATTCTTTGTGTAAGCTTATTCTTAGTCACTGTCTACAACATTGTTTCAATTTCAGTTACTTTTTTTCTGAGATGGATAGTAAGCAAGGTCATAATGGCTGTAAGCTGGAAAAGGGCAGATTTAGACTAGGTCCGAGGAAGAAATTCTTCACTGAGGATGGTGAGACACTGGAACAGGTTGCCCAGTGAAGTTGTGGGTGCTTCCTCCCTGGAGGTATTCGAGGCCAGGGTGGATGGGGCTGAAAGCAACCTGGTCTGGAGCGAGGTGCCCTTGCCCATGGCAGGGTGGGGGTGGGTGGGGGTGGATGGATCTAAATGATCTCCAACGTCCCTTCCAACCCAAACCATTTTATGATTCTATGGAGCTCTTGCTGCTTTCCAAAGAGAAACTGGATTCAAGTAAGATGTCCCCAAAGCAACTGGGCATGGTTTTTTTTGGCAAGGTAGTTGTTCCAGTGCTGCAGCCTGTAGGATGCTGTACACTGTGAACAAGCAGAATCTGTCCCACAGCCTGATTGCAGAGGCAGCCTTCCCTTTCAATTTTTGTTGTTGAATTCAGTTGGTGTCAGGAGGTGAGCATATTCAGGGTGTCTGAGAACAAGTGGATGGGTGTGGGAACCGGTGAGAAGCAGCAGCTGTCTGAAATGCTCAGAATTCTTTCTTCTTACTCAGGGGGTCCCATCCCAGGACCATTAACCAACAGGCCATAAACAAAATTGATATCGGAAAATGTGGCTTGAAGCTCCTTGATTAGTGAGGGTGAATAGGGAATGAAAGACAAAGTGAAAGTGCGATTTAACAGTTGCACAAGCAATTTCCATTACCACCTCTGAGGGATTAGAATGTGTGGAATAGGCTAAAAACGAGGAGGAGCTCCCTCCCTTTTGTTCTTTGGGCTGGAGGATAATAAAACGGCAGGAGAGGCAGTGCGGCTAGTTAGGGATTTCACAGACTGCTATTTGATGCAGTTTAAGGAGCCCTTCTGCTATTGTTGCAGTTGAAATGGGAAGCGGAACTGTTCTCCATTCGCAAAAATCTCCAGCCTCCTCAGGAAGAGGGCTGAGAGCAAAAGGCTATTAAGATGGTAATGCTGCCCCATTTGGAGAAGTGTATCAAAATCCTCTTTGTCAGTGTAAATCGCTGCTCTGTTTCCCTTGTGTCTTTGCATCTCATGGCCCAGTGTGAGCACAGAAGCGTTCAGAGGAGACCTAGAGAAGGAAGACCTGCTCCCCTTGTATTGTCAGAGGAAATCTCCAGGCTGCCCAAAAGTGCCACAGATAACTTTTTTGTTTTTACAAGCTTAATGTGTTTAGGGGTGAAAGTAGTCTAACTGTTCACTCCTTTTATTTCTGCTTTCAGTGCAGATAAATGAAATTTGATTATTGGAAAACAAGAGTGGCTAGTGAGAGATTTAGCAAGGAAAATCAGCTTTCACTCTCTTCCTTTCATGGCTTCAGTATGGCCTGTGCTGTGGAGGAGGTGGAGTGCAAACCCAAAAATACCCTCAGTTGTCTTTACACTGTAATGTGATGTCATGTGCTGCCACGCTGCACAGTATGACTCTGTAATGGACCTGAATTACGATTGGAAAATCCAGTCTCAGTTTTATAAAGCTGCTTTTCTTAGAGAGGCAGAAGCCTGAAATTTAAACACTGCAAAATAGTGGAAATTTTACTGTCTGCATGTGTATTCTGTTTAAGCTGTTGCATTCCTAAATCAGTTAAAGTGAATGACGTGATTCTGTTCAGAAAAGAATTGACAAAGAAAAGGCTTCAGATCTACTTGTTTAGGGCTGCAAGTCACAGGATAATTTTTATCACTGACAGCGACATAAATTTTATTTTGGATTGGAAATGATTAGCTGGTACTTCTGTTACTGGTGTGTCAGGCAGAGCAGATTTGGGGCTGATGTTGCCCAGCTGTAGCTTCAGAGAAGCTGAATATAGCGCCTATTGGGCTGGGTCAGCTGGACTACAAGATGTGACTTGCAAACATGCATGCGTGTCCAGAGAGGAGAAATTCTGAATAGCCGATTTTAAGCTGTGTTCTGTGGATGATCTTCTGATTTTGGGAAATAAATACAAGCTAACAACAGACCCTATCTATTAGCAACTGGCAACTCAGCTGTCTGAAATGTCTCATTCCATCTCACCCCTGTAAATACTCTCTGTTACCAAGAAGATGGTGTGGCAAAAGGTGACGGGAAGCGTGGTGGCTGCTTGCCAACTGGAGAGCTTGTTGGGACTTTTCACTGCATGATTTTACCAAGTGATTAACATTGCTCTTCACAGAATGAACTCAGAAGCATTGGAAACATAAGGCTAATAATATTAGTGAGCTGTAACTTGCTTTAGAGTAATGATTTATTTTCAGTTTATAGGGTTTTTAAAGAAGGATGCAATCAGGTCATCCAAACTGACCTACGTAATTCACACATTTCCTTCAGCAATCTGATAAGTTATGTTACAGTGAAACATTTCTTCTAGAATTGTATTCATTTTTATTTGGAGATTCAAGAAATGTTCCTACTTTGTTCCTGAGAGCTGAGTTTTAGCTATCTTGTTGCTAAATACTTGTTCTGTACTTTAGATTAGAATTTGTCTGCCTTCAGCTTTTGGCTTCTGTTCTCATTATGGCCTTTGGTGCTAAATAAAGGAGCCCTTAAATTGTTGCAGTTTTTTCATAAGTGTACATGACCTCAGGATTTATCCTCCTACATATTTGTTCTTCCATTTGAAAGAAAGTTGTAAACTATCTGCAAATTTAACCTCAAAACTTCAGTGTCTCATGCTGAGTGGCCCACCTCACTACCTCAAGAAAGGAAGAAGACTTTGTACTGCCAAAGTGAAGAGTTTCATTTCTGTGTCAGCAGGACTGGATTATTAGTTGGTTGATTAATTCACTGTTTCTCCTTCCTGCCCTCTCTTCCACTGCACTCATATTTGTGTGCACAATCACACTCGCATTGCCTGTGATGCCTTATCAAGGAAAATGACTTCTCTTAAGTTGAAACGTGGCACTCTGAGGAGAGTTTCTTAGGTTTTCAGTTTTACAGAACTAAAGAGCAAGAATTCTAGAAAAAGCTAAATTTTGGCAAACCCTGTTACGTTACATTGCTTCGTTTGTCACTAATATAATGGAAGAAGCTCATTTTGGTCTCAAAATAGCACGGTCTGGGTTTTTAGTGCTGCATGGCAAACAGTCTCCAAAGTGCTATAACTAATGTACGTAGCTGAAGCAAGTGAAAAGTGCCCCATTTTATTTTGTAAAGAAATGTTTTGGTAATGAGTAGTGAGGTAGAAAAAGAATTCTGAAAGAAAGGGCAGCATTATTTGTATTGTATTGTGCGAGTCTGAACAGTGAGAGACAATGATTTACTGCATCAAAAGCTTTCATTCAATTGAAGAACTGTAACTATAAAGTGACCTTTGTCTGGAGCAACATGGATATAATCTGTAAAATGAAGCAGGGTTTTACTTGATGTGTGAATGGATAGAAGACAGATTAATGGGAATGAAGTTGTGCTTTGCTGTTGAGATGGTAACAGATTTGCAGTGCCACTGGTAATTTCCGGCCCTATTGGAGGGATAAAGATGAACTGATCATTGTTAGGATCTCTGTGGGGTGGAACAGTTTTTGCTGAATTCCCCACAGGGCACTGAAAGGCTCATGCTACTTGTAACAGTTTTATAATAATGGGAGCAACAAAGCATGGTCGGTTTGTAGGCTAGGTCTGTCCTGACAGTAAGGAATGTGGAAAGAATAGGACCCCCATCATTCCTATGCCAGTAATCACCACATTGATGCAACTGACATTAAAAAAAGTCCAGTTCTCTGCATTCTGGAGAGCGGATCACTAAACCTGACCCAAGAATGCTGGTCACTTGCATGAGCATCTCTTCGCTAGGTGGCTTTGTAGGAGTTGCTCTGCTGCTCTGCAGCTGCAATGGCAAAGCCTCACTGGAGTAGCCCAGCTCCACGTCTGTTACAAGAAGGAATCCAAAGGAACAAAGCATGGAGATAAAAACAATGAAAAATGGTAATGAAGAGAGAGGGAGGAATTTTTTTTTTTCAATTGTGAAGGAAGACTAGAGGTATCTTGGGTTCAGATCTGACAAACAAAATAAACTCTGACATTTTAGTAAGTTTAAGTGTTCTTCTCTGTGAAGGTGGTCTTTCTATCTGCACAGTAGATAGGCAAAAGGTAGTTAAGTTTCTGGCCACACTTTTTGCAATGACTGTAACTTACAGAAGGATGTTACACTGAATAAGTTCAGTTTATCATAAAGTATTGAAGTATCTCCTTATTTCTGAATATGTGTATAAAGGTGCTGGAAATAACAGTACAGCTCTCTTGCAGCAAAAGCCAAACGTACACCTAATTGACAAACAAAGTAACAGCATTTTATTTTTCTTGTTTTGCTAAACGTAATATGAAAAAAGCAATGTGTCGAATCTGTTCTCATTTGTGTCAATGGCAACTAATTTATTTTAATCCAATGTTGTTTAAAAAAAAACAGTATGAGTCTCATTTGCAAAGATGCAGCCTCTGTTCAAGACTGGCCCTTACTGCGGGCTTCCTGGGACAAAACGCTCTCACTTCAGAGAAATCATTTCCTTACTGGTCTCACAGTAATGAATTCCTGATCAAAGTGGGTAGCTCCCCTGTGTTTTCAGCACAGTGCTAAAGCAAATGGCCTCTTCTCCAAAAGGCCTTTAACATAAGGAGTGAATGTGCATGTTGATCAGAGGTAGTATCTGGTGATTTGTGACGTTATATTGTTCTGGGAACTAAGTTTTCTCGTAGAAGTCCAAGACTCTACTATTGATTGCCTGCTTTTGACATAGATGATGTTACATCTTTCAAGCTACGGATTTGTATAATAAGGACAAATGTACTTACAGTGTACTTAATGTTCTTAAGCAAACACATTCATGAGTAGGAGGCCAAGAAAATGTCTGTCTGAAAACATGTTTTTCAGCCAGAATAAAGTCATATGTTTTTGTGTGCAGCTTAGGGAGGTAAGAGGCAGCTAAGTGTTAACTGACTGATCCGTTTCTCACACAGGCACAACTGGATTTCTTTTACTGTTGTCAAAGTTTGTCTGTTCTGGCATTTTTGCATTGCCACTGACATGCTTGTTGAAGCCACCTCTACCTTCATTCAATCTTGTAAAATGATAGTTAACGAGAGAGGGCTACGTCTAAATGATTTATCCTTTGTAGTGCCTACAACACTTCTTTTGCTGCAGGACCTGATGCATTCTGAGCGTTAGAATCTGAACGTGCAGTTTGATTGCCAAAGGGAACTGCTGGAAGCTGTCATTCCTTGCACTGAGGAGGGGAGAGCGATGCAGAGATCCAGCGGTTAGCTCCGGTCTAAACCTGTACATCCTCACAGTGCAGCGCTGTGTGGACAGGCACATTTGAATAGCGCTTCACAGAAATGGGAAAGCTTTGCCTGAGGGTAGGCTTATTAGCACAGGGATAGCCTTGCAAACAAGGTTCCTGCTGCTTTGGCCCCAGCACTGTTTGTCTTTGAAACTTTCTCTGTGTTTCTAGGATTAGTTCAGCAGGAACAACCTCAGTTATCTCAGCGTCTGATGTGTAGACTTGCCCTGCCTTCAAAACTGGATTAACCACAAAACTTAAATTATTTTATCACGTAGGCTTCAGTCTCTCTTGATGAGATGAAATATATGGCACTTTAATGCAGACAGACATATATGATACACCCTCCCAACAAACAGGTTTTTACTTCAAAAGGTTTCTCTCATTACAGTCTTCCCTAAAATTAATAACACTGAGTGGTTGTGTAAAGTGTTTTCTGTTATATTTGTTTGAACTTTTAAATATTTATCAACCATGTGTTTGTACCGCTTTTCTCTACCTTTCAGTATTCATAAATAATAAAGATAAAAGGTAATGTACTAGCTGAGATTTTGTAACTATCCAAGTGTTGCTGTTAGGGAAAGGCAAATTTCCATATCGTAATCAAGCGTGGGCCATGGAGCATTCTGGATACCTAGTAAAAAGCTAAAAAAATATTACACTACGTACATACCCTGTTAAAATAGGCTGAACATTACTAACGAAGACTTGCAATAGACAATACAGTGACAAGCTATAAAATATTTACCTACAGAATTTATTGAGTGATTAATTCAGTTTACAATAGGTCTGAGTGTAATATTAGTTATATGGTGCTAGTGATTGTTTCAGCATTTCTCCTCACTGTTTGTGTTGTGAAACTAAAATCTGGCCCTTTGTCATTCAGTTCTATGAAGATCCTTGAAAAAGTTGAGTGATTAAATTTCAGGACTTTATTGAGTTAACCAAGGGCTACAAAAGATAGGAGAGAATGATTTGTTAGAGTGTGGTATCAGCCCTGGCCCTCCTTTGTTTGCCACCTGAATAACCCTCCAGGGTCTGCCTGAAGTGTAGCCAAGGCAAGTCAGAGCACACATGGCTGCGTGAGTGAAGAGGCAATGTGGCAAGGTTATATTAGAATTAACAGTTTATCAAGAGATGTGTCTGGGACTGGTAAGGAATGTCTCAAATCAACATGAGGCAATCAACACACTGAAAAGATTTTGCTCTACTCAACACTGGATCTGACTTTATTTTGACTTCCTAGTTTTCCATTACAGAAGCAACGTCTTATATTAGTCCAAAGCCCTGTGAAGGTGATGTGCTTCTCCCAGAAGCAGCGGAGAAAATGTGGGAAGTGACATTTCTAAAATATGTGCCATAACTGTAAGAGCTCTCTCGGGCTGTCTGTGATAGAGTGACTTCTCAGAGTGCCGTAAGCCATTCTGAAAAGCGCAGCTGCAGGATATGCACAGCTGAGTGAGTAAGCTTAGAATAGGCTTCTGTCCTAGAAGTCCGGTGTCCTGAGTCCAAACACTGCACTCTTGGAGATGTTCTTAGTTCTTTTGCTTAGTGGCCTACAGAAAACATTGCGTTCTTCCCTTAGGGTGCATGCATTTGATGAAGGATTTCAGTCCTGAGGCATGTCAGGTTGAAACTGCATACTACAACTAAGTCAATTTTCAATTAAAAATACCCCTCCTTGGACTTCTTCATTCTGTATTTTTGCTAAGAGTGAATTACCTGGAGCAAACTATGGGTCAGCTAGCCACATATATTGTAGTTGCTTGTTTGTAGACTGTATCCTGTCTGCCCTGATCATTTGGTGGGGTTCACCCAAGAGTGGCCACATCCTGTTTGTTTCATTTTCTTTTGTCTGCCCTGTACCAGCACAGGGAGAATATTCCTATATATCTTTTCTTTTCTGCTCTGCAATTGGATCACAGTACTCATGATTGTGTTCAATAGCTGGAAATGCTGAGGATATCCGATTGCTGAGATCTCTTATTTTAAACTCCATATGCCAGGAAAAGTATGTGGGATCCCACCAGCTTAGCACTGGAGGGTGCAGGATGCATCAACAGGAAAACCAAACAAAACATGAAGTGAAATTCATTTGGAAAGGGAAGGGACTCATATACCACCCATCAGCAATGTTTAAACTATTCGTATCCACACAATAGGCCTTCTATTTTCCTCGAGTTCATCTTACTATGCAAATTGATCTCAAATTGATTTTTAGAGGTGCAGCTGTCAGTAAAGTCCGTGGGAGCTGTAGGTGCTTTGTTACCTTTGAAAATCGAGCCAGCATATTCTAATGTGACAGCAAAAGCCAAAACCACCAAATTGGAGTAGTTGAACTGTAACTCTTAGCACTGTAAGGTGATCCCCAGCCACCTTTGTACGTGATACAGAGGCAAGACCTTGTGCTGTGTACACCAGAGCCCAAAGGTGGATTGCTCTTTCTCTGCCCGTGGGCCGTCTACTTCTGCACTGTGCGGTCTAAGTTTTAACAGAGCTAACTTGTGTTCGTCCGTAATGCTTTCATTTCCCTGTGAAATAAGCGTGCTCTGCAATTTTCTCCACAACAGGCAGTAAACAGTACTGGGGAATGGTCGGTTCCCATGCTGACCTGTAGCCTCCTGCCCATCATAAGCACAGAGAGCTCTAGCAGCCACCTGAGGCAATGCTGGATTTTTACTTTGAAGATTTTTTGTGCCGTGGGAGAGATTCCTAAGCAGCGGCCACAAAACAGAGCAAGGCCAGATCTCTGCTCTGTGAAACAAACTGAACTCTGCTGTCAAGCCTGAGTGTGTGGGGAGAAGGGCAGCACTCCAGCTGGGCCCAGCTGCCAGAGCTCAGCAAGGACACTGCTCATTACTGCAGCACTCAAGGGCACAGGAAACTCAGTATACAAATGCGGTCTGCAAAGCGGTAAATGAGCTGACCCACCTGAGGGCTGCAGCTGACACCCTAGCATTAATTGAGGCCAGCTTGCCTCTTGCTCTTTCAGCCTCTGTCTCCTACAAACTGATCTCTGTAGGCTGAGACCTTGCTGAGGGTGAAGCTGTCTGCCTCCCTAAAGCTGGCACATTTTGCAGAGCAAAAACTGGGTCTGAATGAAGGCATATGTCCAAGAAATAGTTTATTTCATTGCCATTGTCTTCATGGTTATTATGTGTCAGTTGATACCTGTATGTGCTTTGGCTTGGGGCAGGGATTTGGAGCAGTTTCACAGACTGAGCGAAGGTGAGAGGGAACCCATTTTTTTGTGTGTGTATTCCTGCGTGATCCATGTAAATAGCCTAATAACTGTATGCTTCAGTTTATCTGTCTGTAAATAAGTTGTAATACCTTCTGTCCAGGTTTCTACAACTGTTATTAGAGAAACAGCTACTCATCTCTAATACAAGCAAACGTACGCTTCAGGTACAGCTTGGGAAGCAGCAAGCAGAAACTGAATACGTGTATTAGTCTAGCTGCTGAGAGCTAGGTGGCAGTTGTAGGTATTGCTGTGTTCAGAGGAGTTAACCAAGGTTAACTTTTGTAAGCAGTGCCATGTACTGTGGCAGGAGAAGGCCAGAGGGCTGGAAACTGGCAGCTGATTGCCTGGAATTCTCTTCCCTCCTCCTAAATTAGGCAAAAGAAGAGTGATGGTGAACCAAGACTTTCTTTTCCTTTTGTCTTGACTGGAGTAGATTAGTGAGAAATCAGTCTGAGTAGTTCAGGAGCTGGAGCTGAAATCTTGACTTTGCCTGAATTGATTGTCCAGAGAGGACTGCAAAGTTGTTATTAAATTTGTTCATCAATCCTTCCTTTAGTATGAAGAGTAATTGATAATTTAGTCATTTGTCCAGAATGATTACTTGTCCAAGAAGAATAAAATTTGCAGGAGTGTGCAAATGATAAACCTGTGGTAAATAGGGTTTGACAGCTGTCTGTTACAGATCAAAGTATATGGATTTTGCTAATGTCCTGAAGACTTTTTTGTTCATAAAGTAATGGATGTGGTAGGAAAAAGGTCTACTGCTAATGGTCATTTCAGGAATTGTGATCAGTATATTCCAAGTCTAAACTGTGGTCTTCTTAAGCCCTTGCTTGAATAGTTGCTAAGGATTAAGTTGTTTTGCTTTTCTTTATTACTTTGTTTGTATTATTTTTTTTTCTTAGTGCTCAGAATCAATAGCTTGACTGGTTCAGAGAAAGCTATTTTAAATGATTTTTTTTGTTACTGCTTGCACCCTAGATTGGCATTTTTCGCAGTTCACTGGTTCTGTAACGTATTTTTATAGTACCACATATTGTTAGTAAAATAAGAAGGCTTTAAAATACAGGAAGTGAAGGTAATGTTGATCTTGAAATACCAGCAATTGAAAGGACTATTCAGAGTTTCCTTCAAAACAAAACCAAGTGGTAAGATAATGCTAACCAGGGCGGTGTGCCCAGCAGAGCATTATATTAAATGTCCACTGTTATTGTTCAGCTCAGTGTTTGTTCTTCATGTGAACAAAAGGAAGGAAGAACTCTGTTATCAGGCTAGAGAGGAAGGAGTCTTTGTTGCCCTTGGCTACCCTAACTTTAAATGTGAGGAAGCACAGGGCACTGCAGCATAACCTTTCTGCAGTATTGGACAGGAAGAATTAATAGTTTGGGAGGTGAAGGGCAGACACTCTCTTTACTTAAAGAATGTTTCCCTTCCATGATAGCCCCAAATCAGGTATGGCAGTCCTAGTATTTTATTTACATCATGTTGAGTCAGAGGTTTCAAACCTGGTTCCTCTGCTTTGCTGTTTCTCCTACTGTTATGTTCTTCCTCTGTGGTGCTCAGCATCAGAACAGTAAGGGATGCAATTCCCTTACTGAGTGTGGCAGGCATTGGATGTCCTCAATGTGACGTTCAGACTTGTTGCTGAAGCATCAGGAATGTATCTGCTGGAGATGAAGCGAGACAGGCTTACTGTACTTTGCTGCTGCTCCACCCACAGAGTTGACTGCTGAAGTGACAGAATCCCTGCCTTCACTCTCCCCCTCCTTCAAGTCATGAGGCGGACGCACTCTCAGATTAATGAGGAAGTTTACCGTGCTCACAGCCATTGTTTCAGAACTTCAGATGATTCAGACAATGATTGAGTCATCAGCTATGCCTGTGTGTACTCTTACTTCAGCTTGTCTGGTCTGTGTTCCACCTCTTTAAGTATCAAGGGACATTGGAGAAGTAGATTTTCATCCCACTAGAGGCAATGTTCTGTTGTTAAGGTGTTTGAAAAATTTTGCATTTTGATTGTAATATAAAGGCTTTCTTCCTTGCAAATGATGCTATTAAATTTCTGCAACCAGAATTAAGGAAGCTCAGAAATATTTGTTGTCTTTGCATTTAAGATGCGCCCATGGATTGACCTGTTCATTCAGAGGCTGCCCTGATGCAAATGCTG